GGGGGGGGGGGGGGGGGGGGGGGGGGCCGGGGGGGGGGCGGGGGGCAGGGTTGGTTGGTTGGTTGATCAGCAGCTCTGCCTTTATGATTTGCAGCAAATAAAAACATCAACACCTACCCTGACCATCAAATTAATTTCTCCTCCAATTGTGGTGTCCTGAAATAACTCCTTAGTCACTTTCAGGGGTAATTGAAATGTTGTTTTGTTCCAGTAAAAAGGAACTCTTGCCCACCCCACCCACCCATTCTGCGTTCAAACGAATTGTTAACCCTGTGGAGTCAGCAAAAATGGATCTAAGGGTAGAAAAACCTACTTTTACTTCATCACACAATCTCTTGGACCTATTTTTACTTATCAACCATATTTTCACTCTCTCTTTTCATATAGGAAGGTGTAGCATAGGATGGAGGCAGTAATAATGCTGATTTATATTATGTCTGTATTACTAAAATATTATCAGGTTTTTCTTAGATGAATAGGAATACATGTAACTAATACACACACTATTTGATGGTGTGTATGTGTGCAGGTATAACATATTGTTTAAGACTGCTTTTTTAAGCAGCTGAATTCCTATGAACAATCTTCTGTTTTTAATTATATCCCATTTCTAAAAGGTTATTTCCTCTGAGCTGAACCTGAAAGTCCAGAATTAATTTTGTGTCAAATAAAATGTAACCTAATAATGGTCATCAGAAGACAATTAATGCTTTTCCAGATTCGATATTTTATAGTTGGAAATTCATCTAGTAAAAAAGGGGGCACAGCCCATAATATTTATATACCCTGTATACTTTATGAAAACCAGTGCTGCTATGCAATAATTATAATGCATTAAAATATGGATTTACACCATCTCTATAACTGTTATTCAGCAGAATAGGTTTTATTACACTTAGCCTTAGAAATAGATCTCAATGTTCTTTTGTCTTGAATTAATCCTCCTTTTCTTATTTTTCTCTAGGCTGGCAGAGCTTCATTCTGAATTACAACATTCAATCCACAGAAAAAGAAAAAGGAAGCAGTACAAAAAGCAGCGCAAATACATGATGCAACATTACCCTGGTTACATGTGCCTCCCATCCCCCAACCTCTTACTGGTGAGAGTGCTGTGTTTTTTCCGCCTGCAGGGTCACATTGTGGCTGATTGATTCTCCTTTCGCCTTGCTCAGTCATTCAGATTTGGAAAGTAAATAACAAGCTGACATCATTACAGCTCTCTGCATTACTGTGACACATCCCTGTGCTACCAAGCACTCCCTATTAGCTGCGCAGAAAGAAAGAAAAGAGTCACTTGATCAGTTTGAGCAGAGAATTTATGCTTAAATAAACTTGTGTGGGCGAAAAGGCACAAAAATGTATCAAGTAATTACATTCAAAATTAAAAAGAACATACACTATCATGTATATAAGATCTTGGAAGCAAATTTCACTGAAATTCAATTAAACATAGAAATATATATGTACAATCGTACATAAATGTTACTATTTTTATTCAGCAAGCCCTGAATATGTTTACTTGAAAGTAAGTTCATGGAACTCAGTAAAGTTTGGTTCCAAATAAGCAAACATTATCGTATAGCGGTTTAATTGACATACAAGTCAGGAAAATATGTCAGTATTACCAGGTCCCTTTGGCCTGATTAATTCATACTAAAGCCTCTGATATGAAACAATCTTCTGGTTGTAGCCATATTAGTTAATGGGATCACACAGTTGCTCTCATGTATTGGTAAGCAACCTGGTGCCCATATATTTTGGATAAGAACTCCTGTATTCTATTGCTACTTGTCATGCTGCCTTGGGTAGATGAGTCCAAAACATTTGCCTACATTCTAGTTCATAAATAATCAATGGAATACTGATGTATCCTCCTGGTTCATCTATGCTCCAAGATCATGACTTCACATGAGAAAGTTTTGACATTAAAAAATACAGTACAATACTACTGCAATTCTTAACAGAGTTACAGTCAAGTGAATAAAAACAGAAAACCTCAGACACTTCTGCAACACTTAATCAGAAACTTTTCTTGTTTGCTCTAGCCCATTTTATTTCTTACAGTATATTATTTTCTTATTTCCATGCCTTCAGAAAATATTGCTAAAGTATGATATAGGTAACCAATTGCATCCTTGCACAGTCTCCCCATGTGAAGTTTGACCTGAATGCAAACATTCAAGGAGGCACAATATGAGCACAGACCATTTCTGTATGGTGTGAAAACTACTTCTATATGTTATGCTTACAGGAATACATCTGTAAATCACACACATTACTATTCCTAAGTATGAATACTCCGAAGTCCCAATAAGTTCATTGAAGCTTCCTTTGTAGTATACAAACATACTTTGTAACTCTTGTGGGATAAGAGATATAAGTAGGTATATACTTGTACATTATATCCACCAAAGCAACTTATGTACCTTTGGTAGATCAACAGCATTAGGTATGCAGGCTTGCTATATATCTATATCTATATATCCTTTTTTATTTTAAACATTCTACACATGTTACATAGCCACATGTAGACTTTCTACTGAGTCAGATAATTTGGTCCATTTAGCTTAGAATTCTTGCTTGCTGAATTTTAGTTTGGCATTATATGCAAATCCAGCTTGCCATGATTTAATAAAATATGGCATTTATAATGTGTGAATAAAATCATTGACAACATTACTCCAGAAGTCAGACAGCATTGATTCCAGCTCTGCCTTGAGATGCAAGGGAATGAATCTGGGAACTCTTGTATTGTAGATATGAGGGGTACTGTTTTGATTTTAGACAGAGTTTGCATACTAGAAAGTAGTGTGATGGACCATCTGTCCACGGTGACTTAAACACAAGTGCAGAAAGGCCTCATCTCTGTGATAGAGCACTTGCAGTAAGAGGTAGAATAGGGCAATCAATCTTCCAGAAAAACATTATTTTGTACATTTATCATAAGAAAATGGTTCCCTTACTAATGCAGAATAGTTCTTGGTAGGCTTTTAAGTCTTGATATCCTTCTAGATAATCCTTCTATAGCAGTTAAACAATCTCAAAAGTGCTGGCCAGTGAGCCAGTGAGCAGATACATGAACCAGCTTTTTAAACAAAGAAACATAGCACTTCTATATGAAAGGAAATGACAGAAAGATGGAAAGAGGAAGTCCCTAGTTCAGACTGTATTTCAGCAATGAATGAACTATAACCAAGTTTCCATATCAAAAAGGACATTGCAGAGTTGATAAAAGCACAGTCAATCTGATCAAGAGGCTGTAACGATTTCCCTGTTAGAAAAAGCTGCCAGTTTGGGGCCTTTTTAGCAGAGAGAAAGGAAACAGAACAAATGAAATTTTAAAAAGGACATGGCAGGAAGACATAAAATTAAGCATGTGGATAAGGAAAAGTTTTTTTCCCCCGTCTCTGAACACTAGAATCTGGGAACTTTCCATGAATCTATATTCAGTAAATAGATTTTAACACAGACCATAATTGAACAATAGAATTAGAGATAAGAAGTAATAAAGGCTGTTGAGGAGGACAAGTTTGAAAAGGATTAGACAGATTAAGGTTGTCAATAGCGACTTATCAAGATGCCTATGTGTAACCTTTAATATCTGAGACATGCCCCTCAATACCAGTTAATGTGTGATATTGCATTCATGTCTTAAAAACACATACATTTTTATTCATTCTGACAGAATGTGGATCTATACAGCCTTTGGTCTAACCCACCACAAATCTTATGTTTTTAGCAACATATCACTCTAAAGAATCATGATACCAGTTTGGGACTTTCTCACATTATCTATCTTGTCCATGTTGGTTACAGCACCATTAATTTGTATAATGTATTAACTAAAAAGTGGTTGTGGAATGGTAATGCCTCTGAACCTACCTTAAAGGTAAAACTTAAAACTTGGATATATTTAACAAAGACCCTATACTCATGGATTATATTTGGAATCTAAGTGGTGTAGAGTTCCTGAATATGGGTGAAGTTTTTATATAGGCTGTCCTTTGCATATATCCTCATCGAACACATTAGCAAATTATAGGCTCAAATAGGCTTTAACTTGATTCTTATATGCAGAAAGAAGCCTACTATTATTGGAATGACAACACTGAGAAAGGGTTCCAGAAAGGTGTAGCACTGATCATTCTCATGGGATTCTTCTGCCTCATATGATTTCTGCATTCATATAATTTGGAGCATTGTGAAATTAAGCTATAATAAAGTTGATTCCATGATGCACTTTTGATGTATGAACCAACCCAAAGTTTCTCTAGGCTTCTAGAATGATTACTTCAAAGAAATGCTTCTGGTCATAGCATTAATTTCTGCTCAGAACCTCCAGGGCAAAAATCTGTGACAGTTTTTGACATATGGTTGGCAGCAATGTGAGTCTATAACATATGGTGTGAACAGTGGAATTTGTGACACCCTCATTATTTAAAATTAGATCCTTCAAAGCCTTAAAAGTGGTTCTTTATATGCTTAAGTAGAAACTTGATCTTAGCTATGTCTACATGATGTCCACACAAGCTTTTTAAAAGTGAATCAACTTAACATTGAAAATATGCCTTGTGGCTTATAGGAAATTATAAGCAGAGAAGAAGGAGTATCACATGCTTCAGGATAGCAAACTGCATTTACAAAAGAGCACCAAGAAATATGGAGAAATGGCAGCTTGTGAAC